GGGCCATTTGGATATCTATCATGTTATTTATGAGCCATACAAAATTATCAAGTTAAAAATTAGCCTGCTAGAGATTGATTGGATTTCAAGCCCGCCTGCAGTTGCCTTGGCACGGCCAGACCAAACGAACTGGGTCCGCAGCAGGCGGGGCCGTGGTTCCCCTTCACTGCTCGAGTTTGAACTGCTGCAAACACTCCTGGGGGGGCTGTGCATTTCCTTTCTTTAAGTATAGAGAACCAGGGGCAGGGGCAGACGTGTGCTGCAGTGTGAGACCCCACTCCGATGCCCACGTCCCACATGGAGCGTCTGTCTCTGCTTCCATTCCAGTCCCCTGCTAATGTACCTGGGAAGGAGCAGAGATGGCCCAGGTGCTTGGGCCCCTGCACCCACCTGGGAGACCCAGACGGAGTTCCCAGCTCCCGGCTTTTTCCTGGCCCACCTCTGTATGCTGCAGGCATTTGGGGAATGAACCAACAGATGGAAGACCCCTGACGCTCTGCCTTTTAAATAAAAAATGAAACTAACTAAATAAAAATTAAAAGAAACAAGAACAACAAAACCAAAGCTAACATACCATAGTGATGCTGTCCAGCTCATTTTCCTGGTTTCTAGTCTGACTTGAGGAAGACTGCTCTGTGCATACGGACAGGAACATTACAAAGAGAAATACGGTGAGTTTCCACGACCTGTTTCAAAAAATGGTGGTTTGTAAAATGGGGATCATAATCCAAAAATAGATTGGGGGTGTACATGTTGAAATTATTATCTGTAAGGGGGTTAGTACAGTTGATACTCAATATATTTTGTTCTCTTCCTATGTTTCTCCTTCATTCATGTGACCACCATAGGCCAGGAAAGGAGAAGCAATGTGCTACACGCTGAGTCTACAGTAAAGGACAAAGCAAAAATCTCCGTCCATATGTGGCAATGATACAAATAACCAGGACTTCAATGACAGAAGTTACAGGGTGCCGACTTTCCTCAGGAGACAGGTGAACGAGACCTTTAAAAGCTTAAAATCAGTATAGAATGTGGACTACAAAACTAATTTATCTCTCTTTTGTTAAAGATTTATTTATTTGAAAGGCAGAGCTACAGAGAGAGGGAGAGACAGACAGCAAGATCTTCCGTCTTCTGGTTCACTTCCCGAATGGCTGCCATGGCTGGGTCTGGGTCAGGCTGAAACCAGGAGCCATGAGCTTCTCCTGGGTCTCCCACGTGGGTGCAGGGGCCCAAATATCTGAGCCATCTTCCACTGCTTTTCCCAGGCCATTAGCAGGGTGTTGGATCAGAAGTGGAGCAGCCAGGGCATGAACCAGCATTCAAATGGGATGCCGGCATCGCAGGAGGCACCTTTACCTGCTATGCCACAATGCCGACCCCAAATTCACCTTCTGTTAGTAAGAAATAAGACCAGATTGTAAGCTGGAGGAACTAAGAAGCATTATCCGCCTTATTCACAGCTATGGCCTCAGTACTTTACACAGAGCCTAAGCACAGGTAGAAACTGAATAAGTTTAATGAATAAGTGAATTAGGGAGCAAAGAATGGATGCACCAACTCAGAGAACAGAAAGAAATTATCGATTACAAAACACATGCTGGTGAAGTTTACATCCCAAAATTGAACTGTCAAGTTACGCTAAGTGCATTAAGGGCAGTCACGTGGCTGTGCGGCCAGCACACTTCCGGAACTTCCCACCTCTGCTTCTCAAGCTAAAACTCTGCCCCATCACACACGCACCCCATCCCCTCCCTGGCCCTCACCTTTGACTTCCTCTCCAAAAATCTGACAGTTCCAGGGCAGCTGGTGAGGCCCTCCTTCCTCTCACATGCTTCAGGTTCACAGACTCACACAGTGCCTGTCCCCGCAGCTGCCTTCTTTCACTTAGCACGGCGTCCTCGGGGTCCATCCGCGAGGTAGCGAGGTCAGAACGGAGACACGCAGAGGAAGAGACCACGTGAGGGCGGACCAGCTCTGTGGACCACGAGCAGCCGGGCTGGCCCTTAGACTGGCAGAACGCTCCGGAGGGCTGGACGGGGCGTCCCCCACTGTGCCGTTTCTTGGCAGGAGGCGAGTGGGGAGGGCAGGTCTGGGAGCTTCTGGGGCTTCCACCCCACCTGGGAACACTGCCAGCTTTGTCTTCAGGAAGTCTTGTCTTAGTGGAAACCATTGTGGGAGAAGCAAACACGGTGACAAGAGGAGCTCAGTGTTAGCAGTGAGAGTCATTCAACCCAGGCCCTTCATTAATTTCTGCTTACCGAAGCACTTGGATGGCACTAAGGACTCAACAGTAGTCCGTTTTAGGAAGAGCACCGTCTGGAAAAGTGGCTTGTTTATCACCTGGGGCGGCGGTAGCGGCCATCAAATGACCTTCACCTCCATGTATTGAGAGACCAAATAGAACACAATTGTTATTCTCCACTAAGGTTAGAATAGCACCGGCAGGGTGGCATAGCGGGTTAAACCACTGCCTGTGACACTGGCATCCCACTCATGTGGACACCAGTTCAAATTCCGGCTGTTCACTTCTGATCCAGCTCCCTGCTAAAGCGCCCCGGGAAAGCAATGGAAGACAGTCCAGGTGCTTGTGCCCCCACGCCCATGTGGGAGATGGGAGGCACGGAGGATGCTCCTGGCTTCAGCCTGGGCCAGCCCTGGCTGCTGTGGCCATCTGGGAAGTGAACCAATGGATGGAAGATCACTCTCTCTCTGCCTCTCCCTCTTCCTCTGTGATTCTGCATTTCAAATCAATAGCACTTGAGAGGGAGCTAAAAAGAGTGACATGATGTGTCAGTAGCACCCACTGTCCCCTTAATGGGCAACAGGTGCTCAAACTTTGAAGATCAGAAATGTCACTGCTTCAGAAAGAGTCAGAAAAATATATTTGGAAAAATGTCTTCCGCTTAATTCATATAAAGGGCCTGAGACATCAAAGTAAAAAAAAGCAAACAGGGACCCTTGTGATTTCCAGGGTGCTTGTTTCACTTCATCTCTGTAAAAAAACTGAATAAACTCATTAACGAGTGCTCCGAGAAATCATCTCAGATTGCCAGGCCTTAGAATGATGATGCCTCTTGCGTGACTGGCGGAGGTGCCAATAGTATTACAATTTTTCATCTGCTGTAAGAAATACCGACATAGAGTCTTGTCTCATTATTGACTTCAAGTTTAACTACAACACCAGCATTTGTCAAAGTATGTGCATCTGACAACCTGCAGCTCTAGACATTTAACATAAATTAAGTGATGGAGACGGGGGAGGCTACTGCAAATAAATATACGTTTTTCACATCTTATTTACTCATGTGCTTCCACTTTCGTCTTCTAGCATTAAAAAAGATGTGTCATCTCTGGCCAAGATTTAGAAAACTCAGTATTTTTATAATCTATCACTCACTTGTCTTTCAGATTTCATACAGTGCCGCTCAAATCTACGCTCACTAACTGACTCAGCTGTTATCAATAAATAAAACAGGAAGCATATTTTTTGAGGAGAAGTATTAGCTCCCATTGGTGTTACTGGGTAACAAGTTAGCACACACTTAATGGATTTAAACAACATCCAGTTCTGGAGGTCAGAAGCCCGGCAAGGATTTTAAGGGCCACATCCAAGGTGCTGGCCAAGCGGGTTCCTTCTGGAGGCCCTGGGCTGAG